AATTTCACATTACAATACAAGATGACGTGAGAAATTTGATTTTAGAATGTTCATGTTTGTGAGCTTTTTTTTGTCAAAATATGGATTCATTAGTGTGTGTATCTGCTGCTACTTTTTCCCTGCCAGTTCTATCAAAACCTGAGGCAGAAATATGGTTGCTTCATTAAAAATGTAAAAAATCCTTTTAGAAATTGTCTGTGCTTCTTTGTGTACAGTCATGTGTGTATATGCAAGCGTATTTTAACATTCCCACAGTTTCTCTGATCAAAAAGGCAAGTTTTGAGACCAATACCTAAAACATCAATGATTCCCAAGGAAACAACAATCCAGGTTGCTCTGCTTTGAAAGCTTCAACAAAAGACAGGTAGTGCAGAGCATTGCATCTCTTGTTGCTCAGTCTTCAGACTGTGTTGCGTGTTGTTGTTGCCTTGGACAGCTCTAACAAGGCCTGCGTTAGCACAACAGAGGGCTGGAAATTATTACGTATAATGATCATGTCATGATGTCATGATGGCCATGCCACCCATCTGTCTCTCTTGCACATTCTCACTCCCAACTTGTCAAATATTGACGCGTGTTCAGTGGTCCTAAGCTTCAAACTATGAAGCTTTAGGTACCCCTCTTGCATCAGTATGTCAGGGACAGCGTGTCAATAACTCCCTGCGTCAGTATCAGGCGTTGAGCGACACTGACCGGCCATCGGTATTTGACGAGTGGTGAGTGAGAACGGGTTGGTCTGTTTTTATGATTAATAGCTGACGATGGAGAACGCAGTACTCTCATGTATATACAAGTGTGACCCGAGGATGTCCTTCACTGCTGTTCCCACTCTCTGGATAGAACATTTGGTTGAAATGATTTGTGTTGCTCTTGATTTGCAATTGTGTAGGTGGTGAAATAGCTGATTTTCTTGTGGAAATAATGGACAGCAGTTAACAGAAAAATGATATCTAAATGCTTTCTTACCAAGTGATCTTTCATCCTCAAACCTCCAATTTATTGCTCTTGTGGAGGAATGGCAGTGGAAGTCATTGAAGCCACGCAGTGGGAGTTTAAGAGTGCGTCTACAAACAGAAAGGAGGAATTGAAACAAAGTTCAGAGAATGGGTGTCCATCAGGCTTTTTTTTCTTCTTTTTAAATCAGCAAGTGGATCAGATTTGACACGAGGCACACTCTCGCAGACACACTGCGATGATTCAAATAAGGCCTAATCACCACCACAGCTGTGTTGTGACACACCAGAGGCCGGTATCTCTGCAGGGGTGTCATCACAACTAAGGCATCTTCTACTGATCTGATACTATGCATCCGCCCGACTCCAACTCTGCATCAAATACCTAGAAACCCAGAGGAATGAAAGATAAATCAACACTTTGATGAAAGTGATATCAAACAAGTACAGAGCATCTTCACTTAGTGCGCTCCGCCTTTCAGAGAGGTCGTGTGAAATCTACATCTACGAGAACACTGACATTGTGAATTAGTGGTTACAACTCACTGGAACAAGTTCCTGAGTCCAACATGTTAATGCTCTCTTTGCAAGCTTGTTCTTCTGTTGTCCATGTGCTATGTGAGACCATTACATGCTTATATTTCAAGTTTGATAGGCATCCTCAGTACATTCATCACACTATCCGTTTAAACGGTGAACAGATAAGAATGTGTTTTACTTACGTACAGGAAGGCTTGCCATTGGCGATTTTGTGATTCCAGCTTAATTACCAAAAATGTAATCAATAATCTCTATTACGCTAAATAGCGTTGCATTTTGAGACAGTTCCTCCAGTTTTTTGTGTCTCCGTCTGTTTCAAATCTGTGCAACAAGACAAACACATTGTGTGGCCACAAAAACAGCACTGAATAAAACATCAGATTCTCAGTGAGAAGGCCACACAGATGTAACCCCCTGTTATTCTGAGCCATCTAAGTTCTATCTTAGCAAAATGAACAGCAGACACCACACCATAGTCTTTCAGAATACCTGCAGAGTTTGTGTGGCAATTCTGCTGACCTTGTTACATAACTTGCGTGATGGCATAGAGGAGTAAGTAAAATAGGATTTACAGTAGTAGGAGTAGACAAGCAATCAACCCTGTATTTTGATTTTGTTGTTGAAAGCTTGAAATAATTGGAAAAATAATAATAATAGAAAAGAATAATTGGAGGAAAACACATGAATACTGAAATGGTCTTATGATTTACATTGAATGTGTAATTGTTAATAAGTAAGACAGCATTAAACTGGCTCATTGTGGAGTTTATGCAGTGACAGGAACACATGCGTGACTAAACTGATCATAGTTCATTAATTAATTTGGCTGTTTCATCTTCAAAAGTGACAAGATGAAAAATAAACAGTCATTGCTAATTAGCAACAAAGAGGGTGACAGTCATTCTCTATTAACGCATCCTAATTATGTTTCTTTGTATTACAGAATGAAACCTTGGTGTTAGTATGACGCTTCAGCATGTCATAGCAATGAGTCGCAGTAAAGATGGGAAGATGATTTGAGGCAGTGACCGATGGAACTGCAGGAAAATCAGTAAGACTTGTCATGAATACGATGAGGGATGAAGATCCCTCTCCAAAGGAACATAGTACCACGAGAAGACTGAGTTACTATTTCATTTGAATGTGTTTACAGATGATGTGTTCATTGTATACTAACGTTATATTTAACACACAATGGAAAATGTAAGTCATTATTACAGTTTATATCCATGAACTACTGTGTATATTTTAAGGGACAGAAGAATGTATTTGCAGACAGATAGTGCTGTACATAAAAGACAAAAAAAACATCTCACACATGGCTTTTCCCACAGGATCATTTGGGTTCCATTGTCTGTGATCTTATTAAGCAATGGTTGAATTAATTTACTTTATGTGGGGGTGTCATTATTTTACAGCGAAAAAAGAAAATTTCACTCATGATTGTGTTGTGACTTCCCAGAGTTACTCAAGCACAATCCTCCAAGGGAACATAAGTGCTCTTACCGCCCACTGTAGCTGCTAGATGAGGAGCCCGAGAACAACTGTAGATTTATTTTGGGAAGGAAGACTCCACGATTTTTTTGTTTGTTAGAAGCTGGTGTACTGCTGTAATGATTTGGTGTGGCTGCAGGCATTTGTTTTGAGAGACAGACCTTGTCATTCTATAAAGTTGAATTCAGGACTTTGTCTTGAACGTTGTACAACCGCAGTCCTCAAAGAGCCATTCACACTTTACAGTTTCATATTAGGACGTATCTCTAGGAGTTTAACATTTGTCCAAGAGTCACGCCATATTATGGTACTTGATTCAATTTAGTTTTTTTTTTTTTATCATTTGGCAGCAGTTATTTTGTTCTTAGTGACTAATATGCACTTCACTGAAGTGTTATTGTAAGCAGCAGCCTCATCACTGTAGCCAAGATAAGTGACTGCAGTGCAGAAAGTGTGGGGCTTAATAACCAATTTATTTTATTTTTCCGCCTTAAGATGTTACTTTTTTAACACAAAAAGGGCAAATTCTCGCAAGATGAAAAAATCCAACATTTCCCATCAAGGGTCACATTTTATGTTTCAAAGAATGTCAAGAAAAATACGCGTTCCACCAAGAATAAAAAAAGGTTTGCCATCCCTTTATTAACACACCATGGCTCAGTTATTGTCTGCTGGATTAGTTTTGGCCTCTCTCTTGTCAATTCTCAATGCACATCAGCCCACACATCACACCCAACTGTCCACATATTTATCTCCACAGCACGCTAAAAACAATCTACATCCTAGCAGTCAGTTAAGGGAATTTAGACATCAGTCCGTGATTTCTTACATGAAACAAAGTGAATGTACATTTACATAATACCCAGCTAAATAAACAGCAGAGAGGTGAGTTGAGAGATTGATGGAAAATGCAACACAACACCTCCAACTCTAAAACTAGAGCCAGCACATTTTATAACCAGTCCCTAATTAAAACCATCATCCAAACCCCTAATAAAGCCTGAATCAAATCAACCGGCTCCTTTTACATTAAAGCATTTTTTAGTGCCTTCAGACTTGTTTCAACTCTTTTATGGACCTGTTATTTGCCTCTGCATGGAACCTGCACAGATTTCACACTCTCCCTGTGAAATAAGGGAATGTGTTACTGTGATACTGTGAACTAACTTGTTAATGTGAGCAAGGTGCACATTTAAGACATTGTGTACTTTTGCTATAAATTCACACAGCCTCTTCTATAGGGCATTTCATACCCCTCTTATGTTCAACACAAATATGAAACAAACCTGCATTCCACCTGACCTACAACACATTTGCATCAAACGAGGAGATTCGGGGGGGTTGTCAATAGATCTTGTCGGACTGAGTGGAACACTTGGTGAAGGTTTGGAGTATGTAATTCCTCTCTCCATGGTAACACATTAAGGAAAAAGTGGCTTCAATTATACTCAGAAATGTTTCAGGATGATCCTGAGGTAGTCATAACCCTCATGAAAAGACACTGTATTGCTTACAACCTAACCTACTATAACAAATTGTACTCTCATGACTTACAATTGTCATATGTGAATACTTAATAATTTTATAACAAAGAGGCATTATCTTACAGGAATGAAATTATCCACTTTTGGTAAAGGATTAAGTGGTTTTAAAACGATTAGTGATCAAAAATGATACTAGCATTTGTGTGTGACTACATATATTATGTGCACTATTATCCACCATATGAGATCCCACATTTGGCTTCATGAACAATAGTGAGATTAGAAAAGGGTCACAGTTAGCCACTGACACTATGCAACTTTGGTGTATTTTATGAGGTATGACTCAAAATGTCATATTGACTTGCTTGATAACGTTTGTCTCCTTATTAGCCTTTAATGCTGGAGGGCTGTTATTACTCTTATCTTGTCTTCCCACCTCCTCCTCCTCACTGACGCACCTCCCTGAGCTCTGTCTATGGCCAAGCAGCGCGCTCCCGTCTGCGCGCGCTCCTCTCAGTCGATACGGTAAACGGGTGTCGGCGTGAACGTCGCTGAGCTGTGAATGGACATTAACAGGGAATGTAATGTCGCTCGCCCACTGCCTGGTTTCTTCAGCCATTTAATCTCTGCAACGGAAGCCGGGTAAGTTAATATGTTTGCAGGTTGCACATATATTGACTGACAGGCTGTCATGCAGTTTCTGAATTCATGGACCGAAATTGGGAAGTAGTTTCTAGACATGCGCTTCATGTGATATTTGCTATATGTGATCAGGTTTAATTGACATGACATGACATATGCAGTTGTCATCTTTGTCTTTTTAATATTGCATTCATCAGCGTTATCTCTGTACATTTAGGAACCTAAACAGAGCACCCACTTTGCCTCCACCTTTGTGCAGAGCATAACTATTTTAATGCATGTAATGAGATAAAGTCAGGGCTACATGATCTCATAGACTTTCGTAAAATGCATCGATGCATCTGTATCTTTATAGACAATTTGTCATTGTGTCCAATCCGATCACTGTTTTTCTTATTAATTATGCGACTGATAATCAGAGGGGAGAAAATCAGAAACAATAGAATCAGAAACAACAGAATCAGATTTAGCAGACTGATTTGTATAGACTGGCTATTGCCAGGATTTTTACCAGACCTGGCTCCCCAAGAGGGAGTAACGATTAGAAGATTCCTCTTCTGGGGGGTTGAACTGAAAGCAAAGGCTCTCCAGTGCAGTGGCTAAATGTGTGTTTGTGTATGTCCAGTATACTGTATATGATCAAAATCAACTTCAACTTTGACTTCATAAGAAAAAAAAAGCAAACATAGGACACGCTGGAATCCACCTGGGAATTCTTTGACCAGCAGCAGGTCCACTTGGGGAGCTCTCGTGGACCGAACATCAAAGATCAAACCCACAACATTATATGGAGTTTGATTAAGAAGGACGGCGTGTTCCATAGAGATACAATGAGAAAGGAAGAGCAGGGGGGCCTTGCAAGGGTGTGTGTGTGTGTGTTGCAGCGTTTGTGCAAGATACAGTCGGACTGGGTTGGTGGGATGAAGAGACAGTGAGGGAATCACAGGAGTGAGTGACTTGCAGTCTTTTTCACGTACATTGCCAGAACAGAAGGAATTGCAGGTCTGTGACGGGATGAGAACAGTTTTTTAATATGATAGTTGAACACGCCACACACCCCTGCACCACCGTAAGCCTTACCTCACTACAGAAACACCATCCTGCATTGCACAGTGATATTGGATGTAATGATTGACACAATACTTGGCTGGCCCTTGCATGTCCAAAATACAAATGTATCTCCAATAAAGACAGTAAGTTCATTGCAGTCGAGGACATAATATGAGGAAGCTTTCATTTAATGACTTGAAATATTGAAAATGGTCTCCACACTGTGCTCTTTTTGGCCGAGGAGACACATTTACTTATGGTACTTAATTATAGTGGGGGAGTTATCTTGGAATTAAAATAATGGACACCAGTGGTGGGTAGCAGAGGCAAACCAAGGACATATTGTGGCTCCTGATGATATAAGGCCACGGAGGAGCAAGGATTCAGCTCACCCTGTAGCACGCTATCAAGTGGACTTTTATACAGGGTTGCACCAGACCCACTTTTCCTCTGTGATACTGATGATCATATTAATTACTGATACCGAGTACCGATCTGAAAGCAGTGATCATTTTATTGGAACTTGATCATTCTTTTATGTTTTATTGGAGACGGTAGCTTTACACCACTACTTAACTATTGAGATGACAGTATTGGTGCGGATACCAATCCATCCATTATACCATTATATTCAAGACCCGTGTGGAGACAAGAGTATATATGTACCCCTAACTATTATGATAAATGCACCTTGTTTGCCTTATTCTTATTTGTATTCAAGTTTTCTTGTATTCTTTCCTCGTTTGTGCTCTTATATGCTTCTGCAAGCACCGGATTTTCCCTCAGAAGATTACAAAACCTTGATATCTTTTAAACTTAGACACTTGATGTCAACCAATTGTAGTGAAACAATATCAGTGGTCATTTTATAGAGCGAAATTTGCAAGCTTACATCTTACGTTACTTGACTGCACTACTTTTACAGCTCTAAAGGTGGGAAGTTTGCAATTGAGAGCATATCTTTGTTTGAGGAAGTGCATCCACACAGCTCTCAACATGGCAATGGCTGAGCCAGCGGCAAGCAGCTAACAGTGCAAACAGCATAAACAGTGCAAAAAAACAACAACAGCACAGACAGTGTTTACCTGGTGGGGAACCGGAGGGTTGGTGTTATGCTTCCGTGGCGATGCCGTGGGTCACACACAGAACGTCACATGAACTTGAACACGCACCCACTTTCAAACTTGCTACATAATCAAAGCACAGAGAAGCTCAGATTACATCACACAGAGTGAGAGTGGCTTTGCTTTGCTCAGGACGGCATGATTCCACTATGTCTTTATGTAGCAAATGAATGCTCTGAATTCTGAATTTAGCACCGGGAATAATAATTCAAATAATAATAATCTCTATTTACATATTCATTAAAAAAAAAAAGCAAGCAAGAAAAATAGAGGCAAAATTAAAGAGAAATGAAACACAAGGAGAATGATACACAGTTTAGCAACAGCAAATGAAAAAGTAATGGTGCAACAGTAAAAACAGAAACAGATGTCAGGCTCTCCAATCCTCTAAGTCTATCAGAGTGCATTACAGTCGTCCAGGTGAGAAAAGACACAAGTTTCTCAGAACTTCATTTAAATCTGCATACGACATAAATATTTGCACATCATTGAACCCAAAAGTGGGAGATGAAAAATGTGGATTTGAGAAATTCTGAGAGGTGATTTTTTGTGAACTTTGTACAGCACACTTTTTAATAAATGCTCAAGGGACAAGAGAGAGATGGCAAAACAATGCCTATACTGAATCTCCTGTTAACTGGGTGTTGTGGCATTGTACTAGAAATATTTCACAAACTTTGACCAGTGAATTATAACCTCTTACAGCCAACTGGCAAACAAAATACTGTAGCGAGCAAATTTGAAAGTGTAGAAGAGAAGGATGCTTTAATGATATTCAACAAGTGGTTCCCCTCTATTTATTTTGTGCAGGAGTGGTGCGCTTAGGTACATTTGTTTATAGCCTGGTGGGTCTAAGTGGCGAGCTGAAAGTTAATTGATCTGAAATAACAGTAAACGGTTTATAATATCTGTAGTTTACGTGCATGGTTGGTAGGCTACTTGGACAACCTATCCAGCTCAATATTTTGAATTAGGCCCACAGTTTCTTTTTGCACTACCAAAAACTACCGATAATATCAAAAGAATGCAACCAACCTCAAACTATAGGGTCTTATGTTCTTTGACTGGATGAGTGTTTGTTGGCTGGCGTTCATGCTTAAATTTCAGTTTGTCCTTTCCTGTCACAGAGTTGTCTTTACCTCATAATATAATTTAATTAGGACAAAAGCAGTTTGTGTGGCTGTATGCACTGATGGTCCTGTCACGTAAATTAGATTGATGAGACAAGTACATTTTCTTCTTGCCTTGTGGAGCATTTAGGTAAGCTGTTGGTGTCTGTCTGTGTTTCCCTGGCTAACAAAGCCCCGACAGATATCTGATGTACAGCTTTTCACTGTCATGTCACAGAGGAGAGAGCCTCAATCAAACTCCGTCTGGACACATCTTACCTATTCGTGTCAGACAATGAAAATAGAGCTCTCTTTTTTTCCCTAATGTGTCTGCTAGCTCTGCCGATTGTGAAAGTAACTGCATAAATGCTTCTCAGCTACCTTTTAAAAGGCCCAAGCATTCAGGAATCAATGTTTAATTATTTGTCACCAATCCATGACAAATGAGAATTCAAATTAAAGGTTCTCATGCAAACGTTAGTTGGCAACAGTATGCAACTGCTAAACGGCTCTCTTTGTGAGTGTTTGAAGACATTTGAAATCTGTCTTGGTCTTCAAAACCAAGACAGCATAAAGCGAACGTACCGACACCATAATGGGGATTCTTGTTTGTGTAACTGTGTTCGTGAGGCAGCACGCACAGCAACAGAATGAGAGACAGATAGAGACAGCACCTATTTGCCTGCTGTTGCCCTGTTTGCAGAAATTAATCCTGGGATTATACAGTAAATTACTTTGTAAAGGTGAACAACCACCTAACTTTGACAAACCTGTAGGGGCTACATCTACTAGAGTGGCTCTTGTCTGAGAGATGGTCTCTCCGTGGTCTGTAAAAGGAAATTGACTCCTAATGGAACAAGAGCAAAAGCCTTAAAGCCCCTCTAGTGGCGCCTACAGGCTGCAATGTCCATTCAATTTCACAAAACAATAGTGTTGGATGGAATGGCCAACATACTGTACTTGCACTTTTGTTCGTCTTACAGCCTTACCAGTGGTGGGGCTAGAGTTACACAATTTTTCTTGAGCATGAAAAATATGGAAGACCATTTGGTAATTTATATCCACCCATCCATCCGTTCGTTAAATGATTACTTTTGTAATGTTAGGGGACCTCATGTCATTTTGCAAAAAAAACAACATTGACTGTCCTTTGGAAACGCCAATCATACTGCCGTGTCCCATGTTGAAGTACGATATTTTGTCCACTCATCCATTCATCCTGACATCCTCCACTCGTAAACTTTGTCACCTTCTTTGCTCCCGTCATAATTAATAAGGACACTAGGAGAATTTGTGACTTAAGTTAAAATAATTTGGGGTACTTGCTGAAATGACTGATGCTGTCTTTCTCGTTGGGAGCTCATTCCAATGTATCATTGGGATTTTTCTTTTTAAAGATAAGGCTAACCCTCCTTGTAATATTATTGACAAATCCTGTCACATTAAAGGGAGAATGAGTAGGATTTGTCTGTTGCAGTTTGTAAACCAAACATTCAAAGTTGGTTCCTCTCCGGCTCAACGAGGGTTACGGTGTTTGTTGAAAGTCACCCCAGATTCACTTTTGTTGTGAAGTTTATGTCCGCTTTTCGGTTAGCCTTGGTACATTTTCTTTTTTTTGCTTAGTATCTGGTTGGGCCTCTGCATGTACAGACACATATGTATCACTGATGATTGAGAGGGATTCTTTTTGTATGAGTCTATACATAGGATTTTAGGA